TGATGAGATATGGGGGAGGGGGAGCCGTTGGCGGTTAGGGTGGAGCCATAGGAAGGGGGCATGTGGGGAGGTGCAGTACGGAGGTGTGTGGGGAACGCAGCAGAGTCAAGTACGTACGATGTGGGGGGTGACTGCGGGGTGGCGTCGGGATTGGTATTCCACTTGTTGGTGTGGTATTGGTGCTGTGGGGACGTGGGGCGAGTCGGGGCGTTGCCAGTTGGCGTGTGTGGGGCGGATCGCGGATTGTGGCCATTTGGCGTGGGTGGAGGGGCGTGGACGGTTGAGGGCTTGTTGTTGAAGTGCACTGTGGTGAACATCTTCTCGCATTTTTGAAATGCATTCGTCCGTGTCGTGTGATGGGGTGCCGTGGTAGGAGCACCATTTGCCGCGCCAGTGGTTGGGGCGGCGGGCGTTGCGGTTGCCGCGGGGAGGGTTGTACTGGCGTTGCGGGCGGGGTTGAGGTGGGTGTGCTTGGTGGGATAGTTGGGGTGTTTGCCTTGACAGATAGTTTTCTGCGTGGAGTAGGTGTGCTTCTATCTGTTCGATGGGGAGAAGGCTGGATTGTGCATGGAGGGTGAGAGCGATCGGGTTGTAATCCGGGTGGTCACGTAAGCCATCCAGGAGAAACTGTGCAGTGGTGCCTTTTTCCTGTATGCCAGGATAGTTGACGGCACGCATCCGGGTCCGTATGTTCTTGTGGAGTGTAAGGTATTCGATCATAGAGGTGCCGGGGTGCAGGGTTGTCTCGCGAGCGAGGGCTGTCGGCAGGTAGGGGGCATTGCTGGGGTTTGCAGTGGTAATCTCGTGGAGTCTGTTGCATAAATCGTAAGGAGAGAGAAGGAGGTCGTCGTCAGAGAGGAGGGGTCGAACTTCTTCGGACAGACTGTGGAAGATAAGAGCAAGGGCAAAGCGTTTCTGGCGTGTGTGAGATCGGATGTCTTCTGTGTCAGTGGGGAGGGGAGGGTTGTTGTCCAGGTGGCCGTCGCAATTGTTGATGGAGGCTACGAGGATCAGGTTGTTGTGCCAATAGTTGAAATTGGTGAGTGTCAGTTGAGTGACGGAAATGCGGGGACCGTCAGATGTGGGCGGGGATGCCATGGTGGGTGGATGATTGGTGGTAGTTGGGGATGTGGAGGGGGGGTAGTAGGTCAGGGATAGGGGGGGAGTCTCAGGTGAAGAAATGGTTGGTGTGGGGGATGTGCGGATCGGCCGTGGGCCGGTTTTGGCGGTTGTGTGATGCGATGATCGGCCGTGGGCCGGTTGGTTGTGAGGGGATGAAGGGGGAATGGAGAGGGTGGGCAGTGGGAGCGGGAAGAAAGAAAAGGAAGGGCCTATAACCTGTAGGAGAGACTCAAGACCTGGGGTCGACTTTACTGGGGGCATGAGCGACGACGGTGTTAAGTACGGTGGGAGTGCTATGTACACGTGTAAGATACGACACAAATCATTAAATTTTTGGTGTCGATCTAAAAATCGGAACCAAATATCAAGAATTTGGTTCGGATAGTCTCTGTTTGATTACCCTTGACAATCCAGTTGTGCACGTTCTATTGGTCGACCGAAACGGCTTCCCACCAAAAAGTGCATCGATGCGGTATTTGCCTCGAGATTACCTGTGTCTCCCGCCGATCCAGAATGCCCACTACGGCGCGCATGCTCTTCCCCCTTCCATCCCTCCAGAACGTCGACGGCCCCGCCATCCCTGAGCGCGTCCTTCCCCGCCCGGCTCTTACACAACAACAACACTTCCTCGACCAACCAGGCGCAAATCTCCGCCATCTCCTCCCGTCCCACCTCCTTTGACCTCCCCAAGCACATTGCGACCGCCGCCGTACCCCCACCAACACATCATGGCACTCGTCCGCCATCGCGCAGTTCCGCACCCAGCTCGCCCCCGCCAGCCTCTTCTCTGCCTCCCCCGCCTCCAGCAATCTCAGCAACCTCGTCAACAGCTGTCTCTCCGCCTGCCTTCCCTCGACCAACAGGACGTCCCTCCCCTCCTGGCTCGCGCACGCATTCGACAGCCGCAGCACATTCGGAATACTCGGTACCCTCTCCACGAGCACGAGTAGCGTGCCCCTCTCCCGAAACCCGTCCGCGCCCTCCGCTTCGTCCACGCAAGGCGCGACGCGCGTCAGGTTGGACAGCAGCGCCGCGTGCAGCGCGACGACGTCCGCGTCCAGGACCACCTGCGCTGCGAGCCGCACCGCGTCCGCGTGCGTCAGAGCCGCCGGCTCCTCGTCCTCCGACAGGTTCACAAGCGCAGACAGTGCTAGAGCAGTGCGATTCGCTGCTCAGCAGCAGCAGCAGCCGCAGGAGAACGTCGCTCGCGGCTGTCGAGCCAATCATCCGCGGCAGCACCGCTGCCGCCGGCGCGTATGTTCTCTCCGGGATCGCGCTGCTCGCGGTCGCGTGGGGAGCGCGTGCTGTCCGTGAGCAGGGAGGACAGCGCCGGCAGTCTGTCTTTGTCCACGGTGGAGGTGAGAGGGAAGGAGTGCAGACAGAGTGGCGAGGGAGAAGGTCGCGGGATGGGTTTCGAGTGAGCGTGCGACTACGACTGAGGGTGCGATACGAGGGTGAGTACGAGTTTGAGTACAAGGATGCGATGGTGAGTACGAGGGGAATGTACTTCATTTGGTTCTCACCGGTGGGGCAGTTCTTTCCGAAGCATCAAACAGCCAAATAACGAAACAACCAAATTCTAGGGAGCCAATCAAATTACAGAAAAAGTGTGCCAAGTGTTGTTATTTGATGATTTGATTGCGTACCGGTGGGGATGCTCTTATCGCATGTTCCAGTTATCGAGAGATGACTGTAGTGCGAACTCTGTTTTTGTGCGAGATCCCGCTCACCTCGTGCTTCTCTTTCCACAGTCCCGCCCCCTTATAACACTCGATCTCACACCAGACTCGTGCACGCGCCGTCCTGGTGTCATCACATGAACAGCCCCTCAACGCTTCCTCCTGGGGGCCTCGACCTCCTTGATAGAGATGACAGGCCAAAGGTCTGCGCCCTTCGCCGCCTCCTCCTCGAACCTCGCCATAAGCTGAGCCTCGCTCTCGACGAGCTTCCTCGCCTCCTCCCCGTACCACCTTTGGGCTCTCTCCATGCGCGCGGCGTCCTGCCTGCCGCCGAGATCGAGCGCCACGCGCCCCTCCGGGCGCGCGCCCTCCGTCTGCGCGCGGCGCTGCCCCGCGCGACGGGCCGCGCCGGCCGCGAAGAGACTCGCCCACCCGGCGTCGAGCTCGAGGTGCTCGCCCTCGTCACCGGACGACGCCTGCGCGTCATCCGGGTGCGCGAGGAGCGCGTCCAGCGCACGCGAGGGCGGCGACAGCCGCGCCGGGGATGCAGACATCGCCGCGGCCCACCCGGCACACCACCCCGCGCGAACGCCCTGGCGATGGCTCTCCGACCAGACGTAGGCTGCCGCGGCTTGCGCGGCCGCTTCGGCGGGCGGAAGCGCCTTGCCGCCGGTCATGATTGTCGTCGTTAGAGGCGAAGGAATGGCATACGGAGAGCCGGGAGGGCGTGGCGGCGGCGATTTTGAGATGCTGGGCAGTGCCACAAGATACGTAACTAAATTTAAGGGGTGGTGACTCGCACTGCAAAGTTCGGTAGCATACAGTACATGTTTATCCCGCACCCGGCGCGAGGAGCCCACCAAGTGCAAATTGATAGAAAGGCCTACTGAACTTGTGAGGTCTGCCGGTTCCCTTCCCCTCTCGATCGTTATATACTTTTAAGCTATGAAGCACATGTACGAGCGCAGTCGCATGCAGCGCCTGACGCCTGACGCCTGACGCCTGACGCCTGACGCCTGACGCCTGATGTGGCGTACGGAATATTGTTGGCAGAGGTAATATGCTGTAACTCGTGCCGGGCACTTTCCGGCGCTGCGGAAGTGTCATGCTAGGACGACGGGGGCGCGCATGCAGCTATACGGTACAGTACTCCCTCACAGCAAGGTCGGGGCGCGGGGCTTTGGAAATGCGATGACTGGCGGATTGCAATCGCGGCAAGATCAGATCGGGAGTGCGGAGGGGGCAGGCAGTGGCAGACGATCCAAATGCTGACGGGTGACCTGCCGCGCGCTCAAAACGGCCCAAATTTCGTCACCCTCATTCATGCTCTGCTGCCCCGGCCGTTTCGCTTGAACAGATCGTCCAGGCAATCAGGGCCAGCATCTTGCTTAGGTCCCTTCCCCTCTCGCACCCCTTCCCCCGCCCCCGGCTCATGCCAATCTACTTGCAACTACCCGCCAACCCATGCGCCGCCCATTCCGCCCCATGTCGCGCCGCCCTTCGTCTGCGGGCACCCCCTCCCTCCTCTCCCCCTCCCCTAGCAGCCCTCTTGCGCCCTCCCAGATTTCCTCGAAGCACCCCCCAGCCCCGCCCGCCTGGCGCCGCGGCACCCGCCTCTGGGTCGTAGTCCTCGTGGTAACCTTTATCATTTTCGAGCGCACCTCCGTCTTCGTCGCCCCGGCCCGCGCAGCCGCGGTATCCCCCGAACTTGTCGCGCGTGACACGGCTGCTGTGGATCAGCCTCCCGTCCGTGTTACCGTCAACGGGTCTGCGGAGCAAACGCCCGGGCGCGAAGCGAATATCGCCTACTTTATTCAGATCGCAGAGAACACCATCGGCCATCTCCCGCGCTTGCTTCGCCGCATTTACCACCGCAACAATGTCTACGCTATACATTTCGACCTCAAGATTCCGCCGGCCGTTTTGCGCGAGGCCAAGGACAAGATTCGAGCCAACCCGGAGTATGCCAAGAATGTCCACATCATGACGTCAGAGCTGATCACGTACCGTGGCATTTCCATGCTGCTCAACACCATCAATGCCATGCGCCTGCTCATTGATGAGGACGCCAAGTGGGACTACTTTATCAACCTCTCGGGAGCCGACTACCCCCTACTTTCCGCGCATTCGCAACGCAGCTTCCTCGGCCGCGAGATGGGACTCAACTACTTTACCTTTGCGCCAAAGCGCACATGGGACGCCATGGCGGAGAACCGTCTGGCCCAGGTGTGGTATGACGAGGGCATTTCTTTTCGAAAGACCGCCGCAATTGGCAAGTTAGAGCGCTTGGATATTCGCAATCCGATCGTGGACAACCGCAACTTTGACGTGTCGCACGCGGAGGCCTGGATGATCGCGTCACGTGACTTTTGCGACTTTGTTGTGCGGGGGGATATGGCCAGGAAAATGCTTGTGGCATTTGCGTTCGCTGCCGATAGTTCAGAGCATTACTTTGCAAGTCTGGCGTGGAACCATGAAAAGTACAAAAAGTCGATCGTCCCGCACTCGATGCGCATGGTCGTCTGGATGCACAATGGCGTTCTTGCGGGGCAGCACCCGTACTACATCGACGAGAGGGAAGAGAATGGCCAGTATAAGTTCAAGCAGGAAGTGGCCACGAGTGTGTTGTTTTTCGCGAGGAAGTTTCAAGAGCCGGACTCGCCGCTTATGGATTTTGTCGATCGTAGGACGGATGATAAAGACTTGATGGACAAGGTTTTCGATCATATCAGTAGGAAGATTGCGGGCCGCGCGCGACGACTGGCAGAATTGTAGGTAGACTTCGGACAACCTTTTCGGAAGTGAGTGATACATTGTACCAATATAGACAAAAGTGTAACAGTTTGAGATCTGATTTTTCAACACAGGTTGTATTCCGGTGCTGCCCAAAGCTTTGGTATATGGTTTGGTCTTTGCTAGTGCATGATGGGGGTGTCTTGTGCTGATGAATTTCAATCTTCTGAGTTGTACTTTGGTTCAGATAGGAGGGCTCGCGCACGGAGAAAAATTCCTCGATTACAAGAAGTTGCACCGAAGCGACGTTTTTCCGGCTCTTGCGAAGCTCCATATAAATGTACTGTCGTCCCGCTGATAAGTGTTGACGAGTCAGAATCAGTCAGAATCACAGATATCGCCGATGTCATAGTGACAGGAGCAATAACGCGTAAAGTGTGTGATGACTGCCTTTCCCAAAAGAAATGAAATCATGCAAAACCAAAACACCCAAAGCAGGGGCTTACGAAGGAAGACGACATCACGGGTTACGCTCTTTCGAAATGCTTTGATCCCTCTTCGAACACGGGGGCTTTTCTTTCCGCCTTGAGGTCATAAAATTTAATCATAAAATTAGGCTTTGGCGTGAAAAACTTAGCGCTGAGACCCTTTCACTTGCCTTCTCAATGTCTTTACTGTAGCAATGCCTTGTTGATCCCGGACCCCAATGGCATCCGCTCTGTGTGCTCAAGGCAAAACTCTCCACACCTCTTGACGATCTGCTCGCATGCGATTCACAAGATCCGCTGAATTGCCGCGATTGACGGTCGAGTGTGTGTAGCAGCCGTCCCGCCTCACAGAGCCTCAATTCACAAGGTGTCAATTGGATCCTACTCTCCTATCCGCTCAGCTTTTCTGTTAGCTACTCTGTCCAGCGACCACAGCTTCAACAAGAAGGGCATGTAACATCACTTCCCCCAGCAAAATTTACCGGCATCTCTTCAGAATCGGGAAAACGGCTGAAGTGTAAGCGCAATTCTCAGGATGGGCTGGTTTGCCGTTTCCATGAGCCGCCGGATACGCATCCACCCCAAGTTTTTCGGGGTCAAGCTTCACGAAATCCTAACTCACCGTCTCATGAGCGAGGTCGAGGGTACCCTACTCGGAAAGTACGGCTTCGTCGTCGCCGTGCTGCAAGTCTCCGACCCAATTCCGGCGGGCGAGTTGGAGGACGGCACTGGCTATGCAATCTTCACCCTACAGTACCAGGCCGTTGTCTTCCGTCCGTTCAAGAACGAAGTTATGGATGCTGTAGTGTCAGTTGTGACTCAGCATGGCTTTTATGCGCGTGCAGGACCGCTTTCAGTGTTCGTTTCTCATCATCTTTTACCTCAAGGGATGCGCTTTGATCCCACGGAGAATTCCTGGAAGACACACGACAACATGGAACAGATCAAGCAAAAATCCGCGGTGAGGCTGCGTATTCTTGGCTTGAAAATCGAAGCGCAGGAAATCTCCGCGACAGGATCGATGAAGGAGCCGTTCTTGGGGCCAATTGATGAGTGAGATAGTTAAACTGTACATATGTACCCGGGCCATCACCGCGTTCGGGCTTTGATAATTCCAGAACAATCCATCAAAAACTCAACTTTCGCATTGCAAGAAGTGATCTTCGGTGAGTAATTGCGCTCTTGTTTTCAAGTTTAGAAAAGAAATAAGGGCAGAACCAACAGGCAGTGCGGTAAAGGAACGGTAAGCTGATTTTTTGCAACTTATAGCAATGGCATTTATTTTCGCAAAGTGTTTACAGAATGTGTCCTTGCATCGGTCAAGCGCCAATTGTGGGGACGACAGCCGACTTTGCTAGTAGGTCCGAGTATGTGTGGAACGGGTTCTTCGCGAAGCGAGTCTCTCTCCAGAAGTCGGGCGACAAGTAGGCATAAGTCTCTGAGATTGCGTAGAAGGTAGCCTTGGCAAAATTGCCCAGGGTGCGCGTATGTCCCGTTGATGATGAGAAGCAATCTTCAAGACCGGCCATCTGCAACAGCTTCTTCGGGACACGAGCGGCCACAATGCCCGTCCCGCGCGGAGCAGGGACGAGTCGCACGCTGACGGAACCGCACTTGCCAGTAACCTTACACGGGACGGTATGCGGCTGATCGATGGCAGCGCCCCAATAGCCGCGACGCACGGGAACTATGTTGAGCTTGGAATCAACAATGGCACCTCGGATGGCAGTGGCGACTTCCTTAGCGGACTTGACGCCAAGGCCGACGTGACCATTCGAGTCGCCGACGACGACAAAGGCCTTGAAGCGAGTACGCTGTCCGGCGCGGGTCTGCTTTTGCACGGGCATGATCTTGAGGACCTCGTCGTTGAGGCCGGAGAGAAGGGCCTCGATGATCTGATGCTCCTTGACCGGAACTGAGAAGAGGAAGATTTCCTCTAGGGAGCGGATCTTGCCTTCTTTTACTAGACGGCCCAACTTGGTCATCGGGACCCACTCCTTCTCCTCCTCCTGGCGACGGCCGCCGCGACCGCGTCCACGCCCACGATCGCCGCGACCGCGACCTCTGTCGCCGCCCCGTCCAAAACCGCCCGGATGTCCTCCGCGTCCTGTATCAGCCATGTTGGTGTGTCGTGAGCTTGTTGATCAAAATCTCTGGCGTGCTGAGCTCAGGCTAACCCGGGACAATAGGCGAAGTGAATAAATGGGTATTATCAAGGCGGCGAGGAAGGAACACAGGGATTGGGATAGCGGAAAGGTATCAATCAGATCCAATGCGGACGCCGGCGGGGCCGTAAGGAAGGGAGAAAAAAACTTTGACTCTTTGATCAATGAGTATGATCAAAGTTGAGAGTGATGAGGCAGAAATTGGATCTGAAGGAAGACTAGATCAGGACAGTACTGTCACGGAGGCTGCATTTTGCTGAGATATTTTGCCAACTTCAAGGTCGATGGTTGGAAGATGTAGATTGTTGGCGAGGGGAGAATGGCCAATAGAAAGTGGATACAGGCCTGAATGTGTAGTCCTTGGACAGCTGGGGTGCCAAAATGAAATACCAAAGGGCGTGGTGAGGGGTTTGCATGCTGCAGCCAAAAACATGTGACTGGATCTGTTTTTGTACCAATCACATTGCACTGTATGACTGTAAGATGTATCTGTCGGAGTGCTCAATAGGGTTCTGTGCTGTGTTGTGACACGTATGCGCACTGTCGACTCTGCATGGGACTCTGCATGGGACTCTGCATGACGGAACGAGACGAGAACCGCGGGCATCCAGGTATGGATGTCTGTCAGTGTATAGCATACTTTTCAAACTATGGTATGTCTTGATTTGTTGTTTCAGTTTGTCTCAGTCTGCTCCACCGTGATTCCGGACTGGACTGGTGTTTTCTCGGTGAATATTCAAGAAAGTAACCAAAATACAAGGGGGGCGGATGCATTGGCGGATTGTGTGCGCGTAGCAACAAAGTATCATACGTGAAAGCAAGTATGGGGGCGAGGGGTGATTGGACAGTCACCAGCGAATCAAAACGGCCCTTAACGATGGGGGACAACAGGTATGAATAACCAAAACTGAATCCACATTTTCGGCGCAATGGGCGCTTCGGTACAATGTATTTTTGCACACTCTACCGACAGGTACTGTACCCCAGTTACAGTTCAGTCTTGTCGTCCGCCCGCATGTACGGGCAGAACCCGGCACCGCCCCCTAACCGCCATCATCGTCGCTCCTCCGACGCCATACTCCCGTCGCACTTTCTCTCAAACATGCTCGACTGCCTCCGCAACATCAAATTCAACCATTTTTCCACCTTCACTCCCTGTCAAAAACTCGTCCGCTCCTCTCATCCACACCACTGACTGCGTTCCATTTCATCAGAACATCGGTCCATACCCACCGTACCCCCCTATAACACAGTCCTCTCTAATACGCCCGCTACTCGTCACCACCCATGTCTATCATGACTACTATAGCCTTTGTCAATACCGCTTCCGGCGGAAACGAAGGTCAACGTGTTTTGGATCACCTTAAACACGAACTGGGTGATGAAAACGTCTTTGACATCAAGGAGGACAAGGGCCCTGATCGGGGTCTTGAAACCCGCGCCTCAGACCCCACTCAAGATACCCGCGTCATCGTCGCCGGGGGAGATGGAACCTTCTCCTGGGTTGCAAACGCAGTTGAGAAGAGAAACTTGTCACACTGTCGCCTCACCGTCATACCGCTTGGCTCTGGTAATGACATGTCTCGAGCACTGGGATGGGGCAAGAAGTTTCCTGGCCTCTCAAATATTTCCCATCAACTCGAGTGGCTTAACGTTGCCAAACCCCGCAAACTCGACGTCTGGCGATTAACGGCAAAACATAGTACATCTAGCACCGCCCTCGTTGATGATGACGGCATTGCTCATGGTGCACGACCACTCGTGTGTAACTATCTTAGTCTCGGTGCAGATGCCTACGTTGAGCTACGTTTCAATCAACTACGTTGGGACAATCCTGCCAAATACAAGAGCCGTCTCGGTAACTTCAAGGCACATTTCCTAGTTGGCTCAAAATACATGTGCATACCCCAAGCCGAAAAGATTCATGTAGCAGACCACATCCAGGAATTCAATGTTGATGGCAAGGAAATCACAATACCTGACAGCCTGCAGGCCCTCATTTTCCTTAACATTCCAAGCTACGGTGCCGGAACTCAGCCGTGGGGGCGACTCCGTGGCCAAAAGCGCGCGGATATTTCAAGGGAAAGAACCGTAGAAGATATGTATGTTGACGATCGGAAGTTTGAGGTTATCGGCCTATACAGTCTATCCCAGTTTGGACGAATTAAGATCCTTGGAACCCACGGTGTTCGTATCGCACAAGGACAACGAATGACTCTCAAGCTAAAATCAGAGTCAACTCCCTTCCAAGTAGACGGGGAACCGTGGGAACAACGTGGCGGCACCGTCTCACTCGAACCGGGTAATCGCATTGGCGTTCTGGAGGGACCGATCTGGAGAAGCTCATCTCGAAAGAATGCAAAGTTTGATCCAGTGCCGCGCGCAAGTATCGACAAGCCATTTGTACCCAGTACCCATCAAACTCCGGAGAGTTCGGAATGATAATTGACAAACTGTAAAAAAATTTCCTCTAGCTTAGTATCACATCCTGATAACCCTCTGTCGCCACAAGAACCCCAACACCCATGGCCTTTGTCAAATTGCCCCGACGTCGTAAGAAGCAGTTTGTGTCGTCCAGACGTAGCCCCACTTCTCACAGGACTTCGCGCGAAATGGCGTAGTTCGTGTGACCGTCGCTTCATGAAGCTCAAAGATGTTCATCCCCGATATAACTAATACTCGAGTCCTGCTTGGAGTGATTATCGCAGCCAGGAAATTGAGAATCACGCAGATAGTCGACAAGATCACGAGTGAAAGTCAACTGTTTGCGACCTCTTTTTGATGATTTCGAAATGATACCGGGCATTGTCCGTCCCGAAAGTCCGTAAGTACTAGCTTCCAAGGTTCTTCCGCATTGTACCGGCATTCCGCGGCCGAACTGGTCCTTTTCCAATTTGTCCCGCGCATTTTTTGCTGCTCGCCACCTTTGGTGCCGGTCCAGCCACGTTACTTTCCGCCGGATTTGATCGTGGGCGCTGAAGTCGTAGTCCACCGACTTGCACGTACGGCAAATTGAGCATGCCTGGGGTAGAACCACTTGGCCACGCATGGCAAGGAGGGGCATCGGTTGCCCGCAAATTCCGGTAGTATATAACGGGTTGAGCTCTAATTTGCTCAAACTTCGGACCCGGACGAGGAACTGGCGCATTTGCCCTTGGGCAGAAATCACCGCGAATTGGTCGCCTCAATAAAAATGGAAGGCCACATTCGAGTCTTTGACGCTCCGTTTCGCTGTAGGCCGACAACGGTATTTCATCAATGGCTTGCACTAATGCGAAAATGTTGACCTCATCCTTCGGCAGGAACAGTCGTTTGGACAAGGCCGGATTTTGAACTACCTGCTGCACCGGTTTTGGAAGTAGATGCACGGCATGTCGCGGAAGCATCGCAGCGGCAGCCTGGTAGGGTCTCAACGGCGAAGTGTTTGCCACTGGAGCTTGAATAACGAACGGATCGCCATTGTGATCCTTAATGTATTTGGACAATACATCACAAGACGGACCATACGGTTTAGCGTACTGAAAAGTGTAGTCGCTGCAAAATCCATCGATGTACATGTGTAATGTCCAAAGCAAAGCACGAAAAAAACGCTCCGTGTCGTAGAACTTGGTTGAATTACCCGTAATCGCCACGAGGTTCTCGATATGCGCCTGTTCCGCATCCACGGCTTCATCGATTTCATCATCCGTCAGCTCGCCGCTCTCGTCCGATTCTGTATCACAATCAATTAATGGGTCAAGCACGTCCTCATTGTCATCATCAAGCCCGTGCCACTCTACTTCATCCTCCATTGGGACACCATCTTCATTCCCTGTGTACACGATCCTGTCATCGGCAATTTCCGTACTGTTGTCCAAGGCAATGAGTGATTGTCCGTCGCTAGCTACATGTGAAGATCCAACATCAGAGAGTGTGTTGGCAGCAACGTCTAGCGCGCTTTGTTGAGCTCGGAGCTCTTGTTCCACGGGGCGCACAGGCACACCAACCTTGTCAATCAGCGCGTGGAGGAATTGCCAGTTAAAGGTCCTTTTCTCTGCATCCACAATAAGTTGCCCTTTGAAGGGCGCCTCCTTGTTGCCATCGCCAGAAAGTTTCAGGGATAGGTACCGTCTCCACGTTCGACCGAGGCTTACTCCTCGTATTTTTGGGATGTAGTCTAGAGACAAAGTCATTCGAGAAACAAAGCGATCATTTGATGTCAATGCTCAGAGAAAAGCAATGGCTATAGAAACAAAGAGAATGATGATTGGTGCAAACATACCATTTCCGTTGAGAATTGCGAGTAAGATGAAATCAAGTCTTGCTCCAGAAGACTCACCTGGGAAGTGCCGCTCCAGTATCCTCGCGAGCTCCCATACGCTGATGACGTAATTGACCCGTTTTCCATTCACCTTTGCGAAATGGCGCAGGTAGACAAAGAAGTTGCGCATTGGAGTAGTCGCTAATCCTTGTAGAACAATATCAGCATCACCACCGATAACGATTACTGACTCAGTCTCATGCAATTGGGCGGCACGACAGAAATCAATAATCTTAAGTTCCCCTTCACCAGGGACGTCGGCCCCAGACACGCGGATATCTACATTACGATACTTTCGGTCATTCTGCAACCGCGAATATGCCCAATATTTGATCATATCGCGAAGATAATAGACGAGATCAACCCCAGGCGTGAACTCGAGTCGGTCAATCGTAGATATCGCATATTTACTTTCTTTTCCGTCATCCTTGACGGTGGTGTGCCCCTTCTTCGACTTGTTTCGTCGTTTGCGCTGAGTAATTAACTTTGCAAGTGGTCCTGGTCCGTCGAAGGCAAAAAACACTGACTTCTGTGGGATGCAGTTCTTGAGGATGTGGTCCAGCTCACGGAACAGTAACGCAACTAAAGCTTCCCGATTGCGTGCGCGTCGTGCGGATTGATGAATGACTTGATTCATATCGAAAGCAACTGTAAAAAGAAATGAAGTCAAAGAGACAGTGGAGACCATTAGTTGAATGCTTGATACCTGGCTACCGCCACCTGATATCCCGCGCTTGTAGTCAGAACGGGGACTAGATGAAATGAATGGAGTCTCGGTCTGCTTATGTCCCGGACAATTGCTCATTGGCACGTACCATGGTCATACTGCTGCCCGTGTTTGTTTGTTTGGACGCGAACGATTTGAGGAAAAGAGCCAAGAAGCCATTTTTGAAAGCCCAGAATCCCCATGGCTAATGAACACAAAAGTTATTGAAACAACTATCAGCTGTTTCGCGAACGGTGCAGGTGAGATTCGGAGTAAGGGCTGAACGTGTTGATCAGGAAAGGGAGGGACTTTTTCTGCAGGAGTGGCTCCCAATTCGCAGCTCGGCAAAGAAAACGTCGACAGTTTGCGTGTTTCTGCCGTTCTCCTAACTTGAGTCGAAGTAACGTGAGGCATGGAAGATGCCCACGCATATGTTCAGAGTCCCCCGTCATCGGAGTCATTGCTGGGCATTGAGAAAGGCGCCACCATTGGGCTACTGAGGTGCAGCCGGCAGAACACGTTCCTTTTATATATTACCAAGTGGTCCAATAAATGAGTCTTATTTGTGAAGATCCTAGAGTGCATTCCCGCCATATTTCTTACTTGATCCGAACCCCTGTGCAGTCCACCGCGTGCGTGCACCTTGAAAGGGTGCAGCTCCTCGACAGCAACATAAAACCCCCCTACGTAACGTCCGCGGCATTGCGAATGTCTCAGCCGAAAGGCAGCCACATCTCATCTGTACCTCACGTCGTTCCTTTCGTTGCCTTTCCCTGATGGCTCCCTCACGCCCTTCGCGGAAAGGAGCGAAAATTCAACCAGCACACCCCACACGGCGACCAAACGGGCCGAGTACCCAGAAGAATCAAATGCTCATATCCCGCTTTTTCACCCCAAAAGTATCAAAGTCAGGGAGCAAGTTCTCTCCTCCTCATGTCTTGACGTCACGCGCGAAACGAGTGTCACCCCCCGTGCCGGGAACTTTATCCGTAAATCCTGACACAGGTCAAATAACTGATTCTCCAACGAAAGACAAACCCAACAGAAGCATCGAATGCGTCTCTCCAGCTCAAGTGAAGAGCACCCTAGAAGATGTTCCGTCGGAGGCGGGTGAGAAAATAGAGCCCAACGAAAAAGCGGATCTTCGGACCACCTGCAAACGTCCACGACCTACTCCAGCCGACGACGACCCCCCAGGTGATGTCAGTGACGATGTTTTAGCCGGTGTAAGTGATGATGATGAACCGCCCATCAAAAGATCAAGGCGTGCGAATCGCACTCTGCGCTCCTCTTATGCTGGGGACGACGATTCTGACTCGAGTAAAGCAGCCGAAGTCATGAGCGCCCAAGAGAATGACTGGGCCCCAAGTGATGCATCTCAAGAGTCAGTAGATCGCGAGGACTTAGAGGAACTGGATGAAACAGAGGATGCAGAAGATTCAAAATCCATGCCAGCTAGTCAAGAGCCAACCAACCTGACGTCATACTCCCGCAAATCAAGTGCGGAGGAAAACAAAGTTCCTCGTGACGCTCACCAACAGCGCCGCTTTCACAAGAAGCTGTGGCCCCTGGGAAGAAAAGGCCTGGGATCGCGCTTGGAAGACGGAGCGGACGAAGGAAAAGGTGCCAAGGGATCCAAGGCAAATGCAAAGAATTACACTCCTCTCGAATCTCAGTATGTCAAGTTGCGCAAGCAGCACCCGGATATGCTACTGGTAATTGAGTGTGGCTACAAGTACCGTCTCTTTGACAATGACGCAACCATTGCTTCGAAAACATTGCGAATCGCCGCGTACTTTGACCGCAACTTTTTGACTGCTAGCTTTCCTACTCATAGGCTCTCGTACCATGTGAACCGTCTGGTTCAGGCCGGTTACAAGGTGGGCGTCGTGAATCAGAGCGAAACAGCGGCTCTGAAAAAAGCTAGCAGTAAGTCATCGGGGTTGTTCCAACGAAAGTTGGAAGCTGTCTACACTCGTGGTACGATGATAGCAGATGGGACTCTGGGGCAGCAAGGGTCCAGAGATGCAGCTAAGCTCGCAACCAGCACGTACATAATGGCCATATTGGAGCCGCGACTTAAACTAGAGTCGTCTGAGAAAGCCTTGGGGCAGTCGAAGGAGCTGTCTTTTGCTGCTGTGGACACAACGACCGGGAAGCTAGTTTGGGGTTCGTTTGCTGATGACGTGCTTCGTTCAGAGCTTGTTTCTCGCCTCGCTGCACTAGAGCCAGTGGAAATATTGCTAAACGCCAAGAAGTCTTCTCAAGGGACGGAAGAGGTCACAAAAGCATTTGCCCACTCGTCAGGTTGCAGGATTGAAAGGGTTTTGGATTCCACTTTCGCGCAGAGTGAGGACCTCTTAAGTGTGAATCAAACTATAACAGGGAAGCTTAAGTTGAGTGAAGAAAAGAAAGATGGAATACTGCGATGTGTAGGTGCCCTTCGACAGTATCTGAAGACGTTTGGACTGGATAACTTCTTGACGGCTAAAGCAGAGAATACTTTATCGAAATCTAACCACAAAATGTCGCTTGGATCCGACGTACTTCAGAACTTTGAGGTTTTGGGCAACTCGAACGACGGTTCCATAAATCAGTCCCTCTTCGCATTGCTTAACCGCACGAAGACTGCCGCTGGAAGTCGACAAATGCGACAATGGGTGTGCCATCCACTTGTGTCCGGAAAGGATATCGCAGCTCGCCTCGATGCTGTTGAATACTTGAAATCAAAGTCTGACTATCAAAGTAGCTCCAGAGCTGAAACTGTATCAAATGCTCTTTCTCAGTTACTATCCTCGATGGCCAAAATGCCTGACCTTGAGCGGGCATTTCTACGAATTTCTTGTCTGAAGTGTGCTCCATCAGAACTTGTTGCTGTGGTGACCGCATTCGAAGAGATTGGCGGGTTGATTGATGGTATCAAGGATATGGGAAGCTTGTCAGAGCTTCCTCCCTTGCTACAAGGAATGTTCTACAGGACACCGAGAGTCGGCCTGGTACTTAACTCTAAGCTCTTGTCATGCTTGAATCGCCCAGCTGCGCTTGAGAATCGCTACCACAATGTCTTCGAAACCAAGTTTCTAAATTCTGAGCGGCCCTCGGAGGACGATGTCTTCTTTGCATTTGTCGGATCTCTCGAAAGGTTGGTTGACGCGAATCGTACCGTTGCCGCAAAAATCGAAGCCATGGACGCACTGCTACGGAAATTACGAAAGGATTACTCGATTTCCGCAAAGGTCTGGAAGAAAGTTGCTAAGGAAGAATATCTTCTGGAAGTGCCCATGTCTCAAGTTTCATCGATTCCTCGCTCGTGGCACATGATTTGTCAGACAAAAACAGTCAAGCGATTTAGACCACCACAAGCGGTAAAGGGCTACGAAGAAGTTCAATGTGCACGTGAAACTAGGGATGGACTTTCGCGGCAAACATGGAAAGCATATCTTGAGCTATTTACAACTGTCGCATCGCCCCTTCGCGTTGTCATCAGAACTCTCGTTGATTTGGATTGTTTTTCCGCCCTCGCCTCTGTTGCAGACCTTCCTGGCTATACGAAACCAACAGTATCATTATCTGAGGACGAAGTCGCGGGAATTAAAGCCAAGAAAGCTCGTCACCCGCTAGCAGAAACTCTTCAGTCCTGTCATAGATACGTGCCGAATGACGTAGAGCTTTCTCACGTACATGGTAGAATTGGTTTAGTCGTCAGTGGCCCAAACTACGGAGGGAAGTCTTCCTACGCCAGAATGACTGCGCTTCTCGTCATCCTTGCTCAAATTGGCTCTTACGTACCTGCCGAAGACATGTGGCTATCGCCTTTTGATTCTATTTTCGCGAGAATGGGATCACTGGATGCCATCGGAAGCGGTATGAGCTCTTTAATGGTAGAGCTAGCGGAAACTTCAAGAATCTTGAGTGCGGCATCGTCAAAGTCACTTGTGGTCATTGACGAATTAGGCAGGGGGACATCGACTCATGACGGAACAGCAATTGCGTATGCGACGCTAGCATATTTGGTCGAACAGATCAAATGCGTGTCGCTCTTTATCACACACTATCCAGCGGTCGCAAAGTTGAAGGCCCTATTCCCCGGCCGGCTCGATGCATGCTACATGGATTACCGAGAATGTCCTGATGTCGAGAAATTAAAAGAATCAGAAAGCGAGGGACAAGTCAATTCGGCAGGGACGAAGCAAATCAAGATAACGTTACTGTACAAGTTGACGCAGGGTATTGCCAGTTCGAGCTATGGCTTGAATGTAGCACAAATAGCTGGAGTACCGGAGAGCGTAATTGTGCACGCCAAGGAGAAAGCGCTTGCTCTGGAAAAGAAAGTTGAAGAGTGCAAACGCTACAGCTCACACGGAAGACTGCTCGATGAGAGAAATTTGCAAAACGCCGAGACGCTAACAAAAATTCTTCGGACCGCTCCTCGATCACCTGGAGAGTGTACTAGCACGTAAGACGTTCCGCAAGTGTGATGGATACGTGTTGTAGTGATGTAAAATGACCAAATGAGGCATTTTGAAAGAACTGATTCGCTGTGTCGGTGCTCAAACGTGCAGAGATGCGTACTGCATCAATAAGTCGTGCTCGAGGGCCACATTGGGAGCGTGCTGGAGAATGGGTTTGCAAGGGCCTGGTTCAACTGCGCGACGGCGTCGGCTTCGAACACGCGATCATGTTTTCTCGAACATGTCGGTATAGTAGTGGGTGGCGAAATGGTGCGCATCTCATCACGTTGCTGTACATTGCAATGGACGTAGCGCTTAGGGGTTTCGCCCTCGAAAATAGCATTGCGCGCCTTCCTAAGGTGAGCAAATCCGCAATTCAAGCGGATTGCTTGTCACTCTCTCAGGGCACATGGGCATGCCATTGATATACACCAGCCCTGGTCGTTTTGTATTGTACCCTAAGGGCTGGGACCTGGACTATACCCCTTGACTAGGGCCTTGCTTCGCAATCTCAGAAGGCGGTGTTCCACCACCGAACACCCGTGTTGTAGGACGAGGCTTGGGAAGTACAGCACTGATAATCCTTCCCACCAATCACTTGGGTCAAAACAGACAATAGAAACGGAACTGCACAAAGCCTTGTGCCGGTGCTTCGTACAGCAGCAGCGGGTGTGCAACCCTACGCCCTTCCACAGTGTTCTGTGAAAGTGCAGTGAAACGACAGCGTCAAACGTAACCGTTTCTGCGGTGGTAGAAAAAAGTACAGGAGACGCAGCACCGTGCATCAAGGACGCAGCGCGGTACATCGAGATTTTTGCATATAATGGGGGCTGGAGGAAAGGCACAGGATGTGTCGGCTCTTATTTCTTCTATTGCCTTCTTGATTGCCCGTAGGGGTTAAAGCGACACTCCCTAAGAAGTCCGTTCGGATGGAATCGGTCACCTCTTCGTACAGTGTTCAGAAGCGCAAAAGAAAAACTTTGTCAGGCCCAATAAGACCCAATAAGACGGTGCAGGGACAAACCATTCCAGCCCGTTGCACAAGCGCATTCATCGAATGCTGTATGTTATTTGGTTGCTGCGTTGAGCGAGGAAGGAATAGGAGCCTCGATGCGAAAGATGTACAAACAATGATCAACAGTTTCCTCATGTAAGCCGTTTTTCGTAAATTCCCTGCCCTGAAGCGGCTCGGGTTTCTTATTACGAGTTGCTATTACAGTATACAGTCTATCCTTCTGAAGGGTAGTACAGGGGGTACCCCCGAGTAGTGCCCACTTCAGTAATGGATGTTGCGGAGCAGTGCACATGGATGTCGGAATGCAAAAAAGGTATGATAAATTTGCTCTTAAATGTCAGGCGCACTGCAACGTGCTGCATGTCTATTATAGAACTGGCCCCAAAGGCCGTTTCAGATGCTTCAGACCCGTTTCATAGACTTAGTCACTTCTGAACGGTGCACATCTCGGAGTAGTTAGTGCACATTCCACTGGTTTGCACGTATGTGCACTACTGGAGAGAAGTTCTCTCAGAGAACCCCCTGTACTGTCAACCTCGGTATAAACACCTTTGGTTTCATATACTGTTGTACCTATTGAGTCTATCCATAGACACAAGCATCTGTCCGAGTTTATCCGTAAACACTAACGCGATGTTTATCAAACAGGGGCCTGTCCTCATATGAAGCCAGCCCTTTTTTGCAAAAATGTATCATTGAAACTGCTATTCTAAACAACAACATCTTTGGACGCTATTTTCTTGACGTTCTTGTCCTCGGCAATGATATTTTGCAGAACACCGGACAAGCAGTTTTGAATACTGTTCGTCAAAGAGTAATAATTTAATACAGATTAAATACCCAGTTGCCTTTTTGAAGGGGCGTTGTTGGTTTCGAAGCAATCATGCATACGGTTTTAAGGTTAAAAGTCAGGCATTTCTAAAAACGACAGGGAAGGACACATAGTCTTCACGAATCTCTTTCCTTCCGCAATGCAGATGTGAAGTAGGGTGGCGAGGGTATCTTTCCTCCTGCCTGTCGAGAAAGCTCAAGTCTAGAAAAAATAGGTTGAACAGTGATCACATATGAGGACATCGGTGGGATAGACACTAATCATGTTCAGATAGAGAGTTCAATGATGTGTTCTCTCCGGGCACTGTGCGCCAACGATAAAAAATTCTCATGTAACAATCTCAGATACTGGACAGGAACAACTTGGTACCGTTGGACCAAGGGTACTCTCCTGTCACGTTTTGAGATACGGTATGCAATACGCTTCCTACTGTAATCTTTATGAACGTACTCGGCTCAGAGGTAACATTGGACCGCTCTTGCACTTGTGGATACGTGTAGATGAACATAGATGCCGTTGCCGTGAGGTCTGGGCGCACTTTATATCTCAAACATTTGTTTGGAAGCTGTCCTCGGGTGGCGATTTCCACTGCAAATCGGTGCTGGATTACTCAAACACTGGTGCAGGTACCATCGGGAATGTCATGCCATAGAAGCTCTCTGTTACCCTCATTCATCTCAACCGATACTTGCCTGTTTCACGCTGTTCTTCCCCGCCACCCCCCCCCCCCCCCCCCCCCCACTTGAAACCTGTATGTCTCTTGAAAGCGACCCAAAGGTAGTTTCAACCTCAGACCAATGCATATATAAACGAGACTCCGACCGTCATAACTCCTAGAACTTCCCATCCCACAGCCGTATTGCCAACTTTGCTTCCCACAATGTCTCCCACTTATTTTCTTGCAGTAGTTCTTGCATTCTTGTCAGTTCAGACGTTTGCCGAAGCGCAATCATGCAACAGACAAAGAACATTCCTGGGCGGTTTTTCGAACCCCCTCGTGTGTGCTGGTGCTAAAGGTGGTAGCGAGATCACCATTGGTGCACTCACTATCACCTTCAGAGTGCGCAGCATCAGCGGGCCCCGCCCTAGTGTGGCAGGATTCCCCAACGAAGTCCTGCCTGACTTCTTGAGACTGGTTGTCGCCCGTCGCCCTACTGGTGAGATTCAATTGGGAATGTCGTTCATGCAAAAGGGCTCTAAGAAGTATTTCTCTCGATCATCTGAGGAGAATAAGAAGAACTTCCGCTTATACTACAACATATTACAAGTGCTCGTCCGCCAATTCGAGACTGGAAATTGCCCAATAATCAACAAGGGTAAGAAATTCCCAGAACTGGCCTCTGTAAGAGGTGGTCTCCTGTCCCTCGCATCTGTCTTCAACGTCGATGACTGCAGCGGCGGGCTCGTTTAGTGCTGAAGCACCAAAAATGCGTCAATCAGTTCTTTTCTGGTCAACCTAAGAAGAAAAGTAATGTTGGGCTCTTGTCCTATTCCTTCAAGCGAGAAAGACTTGATTCTAGTGGTCTGTTCAATTCGCTTTCAAGTACGTAATCAGCCCACTTAGAAGGGCTTTCGGATGAAGTAAAGATTTGATTTCTATGAAATTCCGAACTTATCGACACCGTGAGGTGGTATGTTGCAGATGCTGTCATTTTCGCGGCTCAGATACATCTTCGACAAGCGCTTGTGTCAATTGCCAATTTCAGTTTCACTTTGTGGATCAATCAAGGCAATACAACTGTTTAAAGTACCCATTTATTGCTCCCATACTTTTAGAGGCTGCCTTGATATCATTTGGAAAGCCAACGAAGTCGAGCCATCTATTCAATGCCATTTCAATAATAAAGGCACCTCAAACAAAGAGGAGCCGTATATATCCCACGAATTTTGAAATGCAGAGCACATGTGGACTGATAATTCTTGCACTAGTTTTAACACATCTGTACACCTTTGTCCGAAGGATATGATGCAGTGCGTGCTCCAATACTCTGATGCTAGATAGCATTTCCCGGAGATTTCGTCAAGTACAGAGAACGGAGGTAGAGCACTCCTACGTGATTAGGGACGGAGCTTTCTTTTATTTCCTTGGCGTCATAACGGACGCGTAGTGTATGTAAACAAAACATGTCTAGAACAACAAGGCTACCATATCAACCAAATAACTTCCCCTTCTGTTACATTATAAGCAAACTGTCAAATTCAAGCGACTCGCATAGCCTCGTTCATCAAAAACCAATCCGACGTGCGGCGTTTCTACCTACAACGTGGGGAAATTGTTGTGTATTTACAATTTTGTGTCGATCCCATCAGCTTCTGATGTTCTTTGATCAATAGATATTCCGTAAATAATGTATGTTCCTACGATTGCTGCCAGACACGTGAATGATGCTGTGACGATATAACTTGCAGATTGGTAACTTGGAGGAGCAATTATAACGTACCAAAAAAGGCTCAAGTCCCCCGCCAGAAAAAGTGGTTGTAAGGGAGCTGCAAGAACAGGCATCGCCAGCAAAGAGGCAACCCAGAGCCCCAAAGTAATAGACGCTAGCCATCGCAAATGCCTCAACAAGCTGTTGAAACGAGGGTACTTTTCACAGGTCGGGCAATATGCACTGACTGTCAAAAGCGGAACAAGGGAAGGTTGCTGGGTAAACGCATACGTAACTTGCAGAGATATCAACCCAAAGATGACTGGTGGAGGCAAAGGGATGGTTGGACAACGTATCGAAGGCAGAAATTGAAAAGAAGGCACATGTTAGTTGCTGATGAATTTCAAACAGAGAACGGACAGAAAAGCTCTTGAAGTATGATGAAAAACGAACTAGGAGCGTCTTTTGAACTGAAGCACGGCTCAGCATTCTCGTCGGATGCGAAGAAGCTGACGTCGTCCGGATCTACGTTTTCCATGAAAGCACCCACGAGGGTAAAAACGTTTGTAGTCAGCACTGAGATTTCTGATGCGAAATACAAGATTGTAGTGAGTAGCAGAAGCCTTCGTTCAGAATTCCCGCCGACTATGCGCTGCACGAGCGACAAATTTCCCTGCAATCGATTTACAAGCCCGCGCTCCTGAGCTAAAAATTGTCCTTCGTCAGGGTTGGCAGAGGCCTCATGCAAACAAGACGGCTGTGAGGAATTCCTTTGCACGCTCAAGAACTCTCG